TTGTAAAAATAACTGAATTCTAGTTATTTTTACATTTAGGACTGATTAACTGTGGCTGCCATTTTGAACTGAGTTGACTCTAAAAGTCAAACAGCTACAAATGTGCATGATATTTATTTACTGAACATTTCATTGAAATCTGTCCTCTTGTTCACAAGATATTTTGCTAACAGACGAACAGTTTCTTCACTTTTTATGGCAGGAGATACAGAAGTTTGATTACAGCCCCCTCTTGTGGTAGAAAAGTGCAGAAACAGCTTCCCTCTGCAGTTTGTTGACAAAAACCATCATAACCCTTGGAAATAAACACTTTTTTGGTAGATTTTTTTTATATATAATCATGTTATGATTTTATATAACTGCAATTAAAGCATAAATACTTTATTTTTGTGGAAAACTAAAGTTCAACACTGAGTCATACCTTGCTTAATCTGAAAAGCTTTTATTACATTTATTTATTTTATTCATTTTTGGACTAACATTTATCAAAAAGTAAAAGGTAAAGGTACTTTATTTGTCATCAGTGTATGTTTCCACACAATGACGAAATTTGTGCTCTGCATTTAACCCATCCACACCCAAGTGGAGCAGCGGGCAGCCATGTGAGGCGCCCGGGGAGCAGTTAGGGTTAGGTGTCTTGCTCAAGGACACCACGACATGTGGGTATGGTGAGGAGTCGAACCTAAGACTTTCGGGTCCCAAGCTGCTCTACCACTACACCACAGCCGCCCCCAAAAGGTTTTCAGTCAAAGCAAAGTCAATATTAATATGTTGCAAGTATTGTTTATTTATTCATTTATCATTTATTCATTGTTTGTTGTTTTGTTTGCACCATGTGTTTCCATGCGATGCTCCCAGCAGATTGATGTGTGTGAACAGACTGGGAAAAGACAGAGAAAGTTAGATGTCAACAGAGGTTTTAAAGTGGGATCCCATCCTTCAGATGAAGAATATAGATCATGTTCTTTTTTCGGTCCTCTGTTTGACTAGATGTTCTGACTTCTGCCCCCATCGGTGACCCGTTAATCCCTCTTAGCCCAGAGGAAATTACACRTTGACCTTAGACACACTTCCTCCTCCTCCCAACCACAGCTAATGTATATGCAGATAAGGACCAAAGGTCCAAGAGAAATATTCAGATTATGTTGTTTTTTATTGTGGCTGTGGGATCAAATATCCCAGCATGCAATCTGCTCCAATTTAACTTTAGATTGAGATTTAAGTCACTCAAACATATGTTCACCTACGTTTGTGATATTTTTATGTTCTAAAAGAATTAAATCTACAGTTTAGTAAAAAGCGTCATTCAAAAGGAGTTGAGAGTATTTGCCTGCCTCGCCTTGTGTAAACGTCCCTGATGAAAACTACAGTTTGTTGTCACCTCCTCTGTGTGTCATCAGTGGAAGCATGTCTACTGTATTTATTTTGTTTCAGTTGGAAAAGCTCGCWGACTTAAAGCAGTTGGGCTGATGAGACTCTACAGAGGATTTCACTCTTTTTTTCTATCTATCAGAGACAAATGAGATCCTGTCAGGAGGATTTGAGTTATTTGATCTGTTTGAATTGGTTAATTATCTTCCCACTRATAGAGTTGGTTTATTTGCACGTTCCTCTCACCTGTTGATCCTTTTAGAAGAACCTTACCTGGGCACCAGAATCAACGGTTTATCATGAATGAGCAGCTCTAATGTGTCACGCTGCTGATATGGCACCAACAGCTCGTCCATCCTGACCTGACTGGACGAATCACTGTGGGTCAAAGACACCATTTCCTGGAGCTTTCTGCAGCATGATGTAACTCAGCGTGGCCCTGTCACTCAGGTTGATCTGAGGCTCTGCAGATAATCTCGTCAACAGATCAGAGACGAAACGGCTGAGCACAAAGCGGAGCCTCACCGACCGCGGCCTAATGGGATTGGTCACCATTACTTGATTAGCCTGCTTGGAAGCACTTGGAAAACCAGGTTGCATGAAGAGGGGCAGAGTCATGGGAGGGTGGGATTGGATAGTTTTAGACAAACCKAACAGTACAAAAGACAGTATTTTAAACTTTTCTAATAAGTAAAGTTTAAAGTAGTTCTTTTACCTTTCAGACTTTTTAATATAACTGAACATTAAAAAGAGCAAAAAAATTCAACAAAAAAGCAACTTAAACTTGTACAACATATATACACTGATAATATCTGTTATTGTGGATATTTRCTTAGTAATTTGTTTTAGCTTCATTTGAGTTTTTGAAATCCTCCCAAGCTGAGGGTTTCTATGACTCACTKTGAGGCTGTGACCCCCAGGGAACTACTGGTTTATTGGGATGGTATTTTTCTATAACTTTACAGGATCACTGTGTGCTGGAA